CTGGGGAATTTTGGAAGTTGAAGTCCACTCATCTTAAAGTGGCCAAGTTTGGACAACACTGCTCTAAATGGTTGTGCCAATACCTCAAATGGAAATGAACATGCCCTTTAAATCTACAAATACCATTTATCTGATGACCATGAGTTTACCACATGAATTAAGGCACCCCACTATCCTATGTTTAAATAAAATAAGTCTAAGTGATTCTTGGTTGATTTTGGACAGAGCTATGTATGTATTTTTTTTCTCTCTCCCTTACACAGTGAACTTGTAAATTTAGCTTCTGGACATCTTCTGTATAAGCCACACACTATTACAGAAAGAGGGAAATAACAGAATATATATCACAAGACAGAATATTTATTAAGAAATGTGCTAAACAAGGTTCTGCTCATGTAGCTGAAGTGACAGACCTGCTAACACATTTGTAATTCTCCCATTCTAAATGGGTTCAAGGATCAAATTCAGAGACAGTTTATTATTGAAATTTCATCACAGAGATATAAAAGATGGGGGGTGGGGGTGGGTAGGCATCCTACTATAAGCCCTATATGACTAGAGGATAGGAGTTTGGACTTCCTGAGCCAAAATGGATACAGGCAGAGATGCAGCCCACTGAAATCAACCACAGGGAAGATCTAATTTCACTTGTTACGGAATTTCACTCTCTAACATCTGCTGTCTTGCAAAAATAGCTTGTAAGAACTGCAAGTGGGAAGCAGGGAACATTGGAATTACTGATAACAAGGAAAAGGAGCCACTGGAGGAAGGAGCCACTGGAGGAAATGTCACAAAAATGGACCAAAACATACAGCGGACACTTAATAGCATTCATTCCTTACAGTTCTTTCAAGTTCTTCAGTTTTGCAAAGGCGTCCTCTTGAATGGACCGAATGGCATTATCCCCAAGGTTCCTACAGAAAGCAAGCATTTATTTTAATTTATACACATACATAGATGGACCGTGGTGGTACAAAAGTAACTCTGTGTAGGTTTAATGTCTTTTAAATAGTTTATGTTTTTCCATTTATTAATAATATTTTTTATCCTAGTAAACAGAACATGTGCAGAAGTAGGGCCTGAATGCATTTGCACATCACACTAACTTTATCAGGACATGTCACAGTGAGTCTCTCATCTGTCTGCTTTCCCTTCATATCCAATTCCTATTATTTTTTGTTTTAATGAATCCTAACGGTGACTAGTAAAAAAAAGCCAATTTTATTTATCTTATACAGGTAGTCCTCGTTTAGTGACCATTCAAAGTTACGATGGCACTGAAAAAATAATTTATGACTGGTCCTTGCATTTACAACCATCACAGCATCCCCATGGTGATGTGATGGAGATTTGAGGGCTTTGCAACCAGTGGGCACTCACGACCGTCACAGCATCCTACAGTCACATGATCACATTTGTGTGCTTCCGATGGCTTCCAACAAGCTGAGTCAATGGAGAAGCTGGCAGTAAAATTGCAAGTCACAGTCACATGATGTCTTGCTTAATGACCGCATTACTTAGTGATGGAGTTGCTGGTCCCAACTGTGATTGCTAAGCGTGGACTACCTGTATATTTTTTGTCAGCCAGTTAAGATACAGATTAACTGCATATTACGCCTTGGACATAATGCAAAACTGAAATGGAGTTTCACATAAATCCTTGTGATTTAATGTTATATATGAATTGGCCCATGAGTAGTACTACTCTCAACCAATTATTATTTTAATAGCTTAAGGTGGATTTTTTAAAACTGTACATCTGCACACATAACCTAGTTCCAGTTGCTTGGTAAAACTGTCAGCACTTTAAATACCAAAGACTTTAGCATTTCACCTAGCCAATTGCTGAAAAACTGTACTTGAAGCAAAGAACATGTAGTTACTTTAAACTTTAACCCCCCTCCGCCCATCCAACCCCTTTCCAAAGGAATCCCACTCCTTCTCTGCAATGAGATTTGGGCAAAATAGAAAGAACAGAGAGAACAGAATTTTAGAACTTCAGCCAACTACGCTGGGGGAAAAACAGCAAAAGAAACAACTCCAGGATCTACTTCATAGAAACACCCATTACAATTAAAATGTCTTTAATAGGCTGGTCCCCAAGTAAAGATGTCTTAGTTGTAATTTGTAGTCATTTGCACATGAGTAAAAACAGCAAGGCTGTACAAAAAGAGCACACTTTTTAAGACAGCATCTAATCCCTGCAGGGGAAGGATCCATGCCCAGGGGAGCTTCTGCACAGAGCAATAGGATGGGGAGAAGGGGGCTCAGTGCCAGCCCTCTAACTCACTATCCAGCCTGCCTTCTTGTTCAAAAGAAGCTAGGTAAAGTAGTAGAAATGCCTCTTCTAAAATGGTGTTCTTCCTCTTTGGGTTTTGGAAGTATGTGTTTAAAAAATTAGCAAATGCAAAAAACAAAGCAAAGCAAAACAAAACAAACCACCCTGAAGCAAAATGACCCCAGGGGCCTTTAGGACTCTTACTATCATTGACTTATTTTCTACCAAGTGCTGTCCTTAATGCCAGCAGAGGGAGACAAAGGGAGAACGATGGGAGTGAAGCCGATCTTGATCAAAGCTGCAGTCTACAAAAGTGGAAGTATTCAGGAAGACAGAGCTGTAGATCCTCTGATATTCTACTAGTTTTCCTGCCACTCTGGCCTGGCTTACTGTAAATAAATTCAGGCAATGACATAATGGTTAAAACAGCAGCTAAAGTTGCATGGGCTGCTTTTTCCACCCTGCTAGCAAAGGTAATGGTGAGGTACTTCTATCGCAGCTTTTTTGCACGTATGCTCGGTGGTGAGGAAGAACGGAGCACAAAGATGCAACCTCAGGATACTGGGAAAGGCAAACATTTTCCCAGCTAAGTTAGGATTTTTGTGAATAGAAAAGAGGCATTCCAATGTAGGTTTAAAAAAAAAAAAAAAAAAAGAACATGCAACTGGCCATGTGTTCTACAACTTTCTTCCTAGCAGGAAAAAAAAAAACAGCCAAAGTTGGAACTGACTTATAATGAGAAGGAAGCAGCTGGCTCTTAGGAACAGCGCTTCTCAGCTTACAAAGATGCTATTAAATTGCTTGCAGGCCGCTGCAGCAGCCATTCCTGGCAGGCCTCCCCTCTCCCACCCAGCCCCTCCTCTTCAAACCTGCAAAGCCTTGTGGGTTACTCACAGGTGTTCCAGGGCCTCCAAGCCGGAGAACGCCTCCTTGGCCACAGACTTGATCTTGTTTCCAAACAGAGTCCTGCAGTTGCCAAACACCCAGCGCCAGATAAGCAGCAGCCAGAGGAGGAAGGGTGGGCGGGGGGAGAAAGGGAAGCAAGAAAGTAAGAAAAGACCCCAATTAGCGAGCGTCTATCTAATGAACTATCTCCGTGTAAGGCGCTGGAAATACATTCTGTCGAGATTAAGGAAGCCAAAGCACGCATACTCTTTCCCTTTCCCTGAAATTAAATACTTTTATCTTTATTAGAACTTAATGGTGATGATAGCTTTATACAGGACACTCTGTGCTGGGTTAAGAAATGCAGGTTTGCTTTGGAAAGGGGGGAAGGTGAGTCAGGATGTGAGCTGACCTTCGCTTATCAGCCCAAACACCATTTAAACAAGACCCTGGATTCACCACCATTCATTTCACCCCTGATCTTTTCACAGTTGGTAATAAACAACTTACAAAACAGGTGACAACGTTTCAGACTTTTTCAACATTTGGGGGTTTCCATGCTACGTTTGGGGAGAGAGAGAAGATGGAGAATTTTTGGAAGAATCTGTTACCCCGACCTCAACAAGTTTAGCTGACGTTTTCCAAAGTTCAGGGACAAAATATCTGCTCTAGGTAGAACTCTCTCTCCCCCCCAGAAATTTATTAGAAACTTAAAGCACCAAAAGCCATTTTATAGTGCTACTTGGCCTCATAGATTCCCTTATGATTCCCTTCTGATCTGCTAGCAAAAATCCTGACAAAAACATTTCAAGCTCTTTTTTTCCAAGAATTTCATACAGAAGTTAGATATTATTCTAATTATGGAAAAATAACTGATTTTTTTTGGCAGCTGATCATGGACTTCTGTGCTCACACTACACCAAAAGTGGAAGTATTTTTAGTCAGAGATTTTTTTCCAGTGAATACCTATGAACTTGCTTACTATCAGGGGATGAGTGATTTACTTCCCAGCAGAATCTATAAGTGAGCCAAGATGGGGAATTAGTTCTTTTTTTATTTTTTATTTTTTGCTTACAGAAAGTATGGCAGTTCCCTTCTAATAGTCAAGGTGACCAAAAGTCTTGGTATTGCAAGCTTCTATGTATCAAAATCATGAATCTCCAAGGCCCTGTGATTTGGCACACTGTAGCATGTGGGTTTAGCTTTGTTGACTTCTAACTTACCCTTTGCAACTTCCGGGAAAGAAATGCGGGGTGAAGACAGCTCAGCGAAAAGCAGAGCCGACAACTGTGGTGGAATGAAGAACTGGGAGAGCAGACCAGCTCTTTGTTCATTCCTCTCCAGACAAGGAGAAGACTTGAGATCATTCACAAGTGCTCCAGATAGTTGCTCCTCACCAGAAGACCACAAGACAACAATCTCCGGCAGGTTTAGAGCTCTAGGAGATGAGGGAATAGCTATTTTGCTAAAACCACAGTCAGAGCCTTTGAAAGGACACTGGGTTTGCATGCTTCCTTTTCTAATCACTTTCAGCAATTGCCTATTAACTGCTTTTCAGCTATTAGGAACCTTTGGATCGACAGGTTTTACAACATCAGGTGAGTTTCCTTCAATCCTTAGCGAAATAAGTTTTAACTAAAAGTTTAAGAACTTAAAAAATGGGGGAGGGGAATAAATAGCAAAAGGGTGATTAAAACTTTGATTTTAGAAAGTTATGAACA